CACACACACACACACACACACACACACACACACATGGAGTGTTCTCAGCACTTCCCACTGCTCACACACAGTTTACATACCATATGGCCTACGTCACTGCTCACCAATGACACATTTATAGTGACAACACTTTAGACCACGCATAAATGCCATCTCCTGATAAACGACAAGTGAACTTGTAAAGGTTATCTGCTCATACTTCGTGACTAGTCTGATGAGGGGCTGAATGATAGTGCGAGGGAATCATATGTGAAGCAGCGTGGTGGAATCAGGCTCTCGTCAAAATCATCAAAGTGACGAAACTTGCATTTTCCCGCAGGTTTGTGAGTTTTTTTTTAAATTTTAGTTTTTTGACCCAACACCTTTCGTGCCCATTAAAGAACTCATTTCTGTGTGGATTTTTCTGGAAAATGTAGATTAAAAGCACAAACAAATGTAAATTTTCAGTTACCACAGACTCTTAAGCTTAGGAAATAACTAATCTTTAGTGGCCATTTTCTCACTAATTTTACTTCTGAAAACAGGTGACTCACACCTCCTTCTTTTGCAAATATCTCGACTTGTATTCAAGATAAATGGATATTTTAAAATCCAAATAAAGACAAGTGAACAAGCTTTAGGATGATAACAATAAATCTACATGCTCAAATATTGACGAGAGCCTGATTCCACCGCGCTCCCTCACATACACACACGGCAGTACGGTGTCTCTGTTTGATGCCGACTTTCTTGACTTGATCAGACACCGACAGTAAGAACGTGTGGATCTTTCAAACAATCTTAACAGATTTTCACAAACAACACGTGGGTGGTTGGCGGGAGCTCTCTTTGGTGTGGTTTGTCCCTTCTTTCCTACCAAACATCTATCGTCCTGATCTCCCCTCCTTCTTTTTTGTGTTTGTTATAAACTCGCTTGTAAGTTGTAACACCTCTAATCTTCGGCACTATTATGACCTTATTGTGGGTGGTTGGCGGGTGCTCTGGTGTGGCTTGCTCCTTCTTTCCTATCAAACATCTATCGTCTTTATCTCTCCTTCTTTTTTATATTTGTTACTCTCTTGTAACACCTCTAATCTTCGGCATATGACCTCATTGTGTTGCAAGTGCCGTATAACTCTTACTAAAACAAAAACTAACACAAACAACTCTCAATAATGATATACCAGTATAGAACTCACAAGTAAAGCACGTCGTGAAGAACAGTGTCGCCCACAGCTGTTGAGTAACGTAAGGCTTGTTACAGTGCAGTTTGGTGCAACAGATACTCAAATAAATGTAACAATCCATGGTCTCCCCCCCCCCTCCCCCCCAAAAGGAGTAAAAAAAAGGACTGAGTTTCACACCGCACCATCAATTAATGTTCAAAATATTTTTTTTAAAATCGTAAATCTATCGTGAAAACATTTTTTGCTCCACGGTTCTCAAAACATGAGCACAATAAGCATAGAACCACGCTTAGGGAAAGGACGGGCTGGATTTAATAAATGCTAGATCTCGTGCCTTCTTTCCTATATAAAAACTACCCTCCTTCTCTCTCCTCCTTTTTTGTGTTTGTTACTCTCTTGTCACACCTCTAATCTTCGGCACTTATATGACCTTATTGTGTTGCAAGTGCCGTAAAAAACTCTTACAAAAACTAAAAACTAAAAGTGCTAATGACCTAGCTCATGGGACGTAAAGCTTTGGAAATCTGTGGAAACCACCCTCTGGGATTTTCGAAATTTGTATTTAAATTTATAAGTGAGGAATTTTCTAGAATACAGCCAACAGGTGTGAGTGTGTGTGTGTGTGTTTGTGTGTGTGTGTGTGTGTGTGTGTGTGTGTGTGTGTG